TGACCGACATGAGATCTTCACAGTTGCTCATTTGACTGCAAAATCGTGATTCTACTCCATCTAGGTAGTGAAGGTAAATGGTATTTCCCAGAGACAGATTTCTTGCTGGTGCTAGGTTGGAGTGGCCACAAGCTTTTTTTACTTACGGCCTTTTCAGGCAGGTGAATCTGCCTCAATCACTTGTTGACCCGTGTGCACTCTAGGTTTAACGTTATACACACTAGCCAAATGCATACCATTTGCCTAGGCAGCAAAGTTGTCTTACACGTCAGTCAAGAGCTGAAGTCCCATCACTGTGAATTGTACAACAACAAAATAAAGCTTTGAAGAAGCCTCACAAAAGCAGAACAAAACAGTCAAGCTGGAGGAGGCCGGGGGGGGATGGAGAAAGGAAAAAAAAAAAGGTACCACAAATTCTCAGTGGCTAAGTACTCCATTGCAGTGGACAGTGCTAGAAATGGTCAGCCCACGATACCTTGCCTAGAAAGAAAGCAGACGAGACGGGTTGAAGCACGCTGCTGGAGATACTTGAATGGGAAAAACTGTCTCAGTCTCAGGTGTCATTAGGAATGTTTACTCATTACATAGATGTATTCATAAGAAAATAATAAGATGCTTATAGAGATGTTTTAAAACTAGAATTCTAAAGATGTGCATTTGAAGTAGTTTACAAACTAACTGAAATAAATACACCATCTGCCATAGCTGACAAATTGAGATACCGTTTACAAGACAGAGGGAAAAAAGCAGAAAATTCCCTCCACCGCTAATTTGCCTTGAAAATTGTCCAAAAAGGGAAAGGAAAAAAAAATAATGTAATTAGCAAAGATTTACATTAGAGCTAATGTAGGAATTAATTGGAATAACAGTCAACTCAGATTAATTAAGCAACAATCTCAATGTTTTATCCAGACAGCAAAGCAAAGACATACAACCAGCAAGTCAAAAGTGTGTGAGATAACAACAGGGTAATAAAAGAGGCAAAAACAAGTTAAATGTGGCCTGTAAAGTAAAATTCAAGAGAAAAATAAAAAATTAAACAGATGCAAAGATAAATTTGGGGGATGTTCTAATATTCAAAACTTATGTAATTATGGCCACTCACAAAGTTTTTGCTTTCCTACGTGGTGTGTGGGAATATACCTTTGGGCAGAGCGGCTAGGAGGCACTGTTAAATTGACATCAGGCTGTTTTAAACCTGTTCAGCTTGTTACCACCAAAAAAAAAAACCCCAAAAACAAAAACAATAATCATACACACACACACCCCCCAACCAAAACAACCTTTTTGATTGGAGCAACATGAAAAGTAAAATCTGAACCACAATGAACAATGTATGATTTTATCATTCTGAACTAATGCGATACTCTATATCACATCCAGAAAATTGTCACATGTAACAAAGTTACTGGGAGCGTTATCCCTCCCTGTCCTCCACAGGAGTTTCATAAAACATAGCCACATTTGTCTTTGGTTGAGGCTAAAACTGAAGCAGAAAGTTTTCAGGAATCTTTCTGCACTTTGTATCAGAGACAAACTCCCCGCTTACTCTTAAATGTAGTGTTTAAAACTTAGTCAATGTAACCAGTTTCCTCTGCAGAATCCTTGTCATATTCTTGCTGATGAACCAAAGCTGATAATGGTTTAAGCTTAATGTAAATAAGACCAGCCTTTCAGCTGACACTCTGAAGATACTATCGCCACCTACATTTACAGGTAAGACGTTATCAGCTGCAGACACTAGCTTCTTGTGCATACAAAAAAAAAACAACCCACCCAAAACTTTATTTGTCCAAGGTATGTCAGACCTTGAACGACTTGATCTAACTTTGAATTTAGCCCTGCTTTGAGTAGAGACTTTTACCAGATGAGGTCCCTTCCAACCTAAATTATTCTACAGAAACTGTATTACAGGTCCTTCTACAATCAGAGAGGCATAGGGTGAGCAGTGCTGATAATTAAAACCCCAATCAGTCCAAGCGTTAACTGTAGAAGCTGATGAAAGCTGCTTTCTCTGACTTTCCATGAAATGAACTCCACACTTCCTTTAAGAGGGGTGAAAAGTCAGTGATGTCCCAGGACATCACATCACCCTGCCAATATGTGCTCCAGGTTGTTTCTTGTTTAAAATCATCTTTCAGCAAAAAAAATGTTGAGGGATTTTTGTTGTTGTTAAATAACAGCATCGTTCCTATATGGTTTCACTCAGACTAAAATCATACGTGAATAACAGATGAGGTGCCATTGAGAAGCCTTCAAATGCCATATTCTGAAGCTAAGGCTTATTTTTATTTGTATAAATAATCCAAGTAGCACCGACAGAATTGCCAAACCAATCAAGTCCTCCAAAATCATAGCCTGAATATAAGGATAGCTTGACTGGGGTTATTTTGATTTCAATTCTGACTTCTGAGGCTCTGCTGTGCAGCTAGGTTTCCCCTGCAGGCACTTTTCCATGATACAGGGATGATACTCGTTATGAAAATAAAGTCTAGAAATGGAAACATTTTAAAATGAATGGTGGGACTCTCTTGTAAATCCTGCTGCTGGCATTTTATGTAAATGTGCATAGTATTTTGGTATATGATAAACTTACCAGATTTGGCAAGTTTAAAATACAGACATCCCAGTCTGTCTGTATGACACTTCTGCTTTATTAATATTTCTGGCAGCAAAGCCGGTTCATGAACTGCTCACATTGCTTGTTCCTGTCCCTGCTCGCTCCCAGCGGCAGTCCCAGCTCCCTCTGGCATCATTAATTCATCTGCTTGTGATGTTGTGCTCTAGGCCAGCCCGGTACATTTGAGTCACATGCCTAGGCTTGCAGTCTTTCGTAGTCTGGGGGGGACTGGGGCATGAGGGAGAGCAGGCGTAAGAGACTCGATTTCTTAAACTGAGATCTTTTACCGATCTAAAGCAGACTGCGGTTAAAGATTCAGAAGTGCTGCTTGGGCAGTTCTCATTTCTCCCTACCCACTGAGACCACTCTTTTTCTCCCCTTGAAGTGCTCTCTGTGAAGCATTTCTGCATTCAATAATTAAATGGGGAAAGGTGACCACCTAAGTCAGCAGTGCTGCCAGAAAGTTATTTACCAGAAAATCCCCTTACACAGTTTCACAGGCAGCTGAATCAACATAACGGAAGGGAAAACTGCACTAAGGGAGCGCACAGACCTTTTAATCCAGCCTTGTCTACAGAAAAGCAATATGCAGAACTGCATTTAATTTTTTATGCTCTGTCTAGTACCCTGGTTCCAGATACTTGCTTACTGTTTGTATCAGAAAGCACAAAGGGACACACAAAGGATTCAGTTTCCAAGAATAATCTTACTGCTACAACGTGTTTAATTTCTGAATCTGCAACTTTTTATTAAATTAACGAACGAGCTTTAAAGCAAGATGTACTGCACTTCGCATTACTAGCATAATACAGAAACATGCTAACATTGAAGAACCGCTGGTAGTTCTTCTACATTCTCCTACAGGTCACAGCATACTCATAATTCCTCTGGCCATTTTCTAGGCTTTAACTCTTTATCTTCATGTCATATATGAAAATTGAAAAGACCCCATGATTAATCTGAATAGCAAGTTACCGTGAATCAGTCTGTCACTGGTTAACACATTTTTTTTTCCAAAATATATGTAGGCAGAGTAAAAGATGACAGCATAGCACACAGAAAAAATGGCAGTGTTCAGAAAGAATCTTATGCCTTCATAACAAAAGTGGGGACATATTTTCCTCCTCCTAACAATTGAGCCATTGGGAAAACATCACTACCTTTTTCAACGTCTCAAGTTTTTTCTGTTTGAAAAACAGCGTAACAAGTTGCAGTGAAGGCTTCTTAACTGAAAATATATTTGGGCTAGCTTTTGTTATATTTAATATGCAGCTGTTGTTCCTTCTAAACTTTCTTCAATTAAATTATTAAGTTTTTCTCATTTTTTTAGAAAGATGCATAGATTTAATAAAGACACCCTCTAAAAAGAACGAAATACAAGTTTTGCACACTACAAATTGGTAAGCCTCATGACTGCAGGGTTATTTTGCTGTTAAAGCTGCTTATGTAGCAGTCCTATGAGTATATACCCTGAGCTGGAAGGAAGTATCTAATGAGTAAGGAAATGCACTTTCACATTCTTTCCCACCTAAATAGCTCTTTTTCAGTCACATTAAATACTGGCCTTCAGAGAGAGAGACAAGACATTAACTAATACTTGAACTTTAGGCATGTAAATTAACACTGGCGTAAATGCTGAGTATGTGTTCGGTCCTCAATGCTGAATTTCCTGGGGGCGTTCAGCCTCTTCTCAGATAATGCCAAGCAAGAACTGAGGTCTCATTCGTTGATAAGAAAGCACGAGACTTTGTAAAGTGGGTCATATACGTTTGTCAAGCAGTAGGATGCTGTGCTACCCATCAAATGATACTAAATTAATAGCAGCGGCCATAAAATTTACCATTTTCAGCACATAACTGCTATTTAGTTATGTCTTTTCCTCTTTAAAGAGCTCAGCATTTTAATCTCAGCTTTGTTGGAACTCTTCTATAAAAAATAAACATGGTCAATTTTAATTAATGTTTTGGAGACATGGTAATGCTCATTATGGTGTATGCCCTGCATAATGGGTCATTCTGACAGCGTTCTCTTTTAAAATACTGACAGATAAAGCTATTGTAGAAACACGTCAACTATTCTGAATATTTACCTGCTAAAAAACCAAAAATTGTCCTTGTATTGTTATTTCTAAAAAGACTTCTATATTATTTAGTATACGAAGGGACATTATGAAATTTCTGTTTCGGCTCTACATTCAGAAGAGAAACGGTTATATAAGAAACAGAATAAAGTAATCTTTATAGCTGTTTTTTTCTAATACTGTGTATATCCACCAAATAAAAAGGATTAAATTACTGCACTGCTAGTGCATTCAAGGCCAGGAGACAGAATGTGTAAACAAGCACATGCACACACAAACTTACTAATCTAAAAAACCAAAACAGACCAGAAATAAAATTAATTGCCACTACAGATATTTAGTGGTCTCATTACAGATAATTTGCCTATAATTTCTCTGTATCTATTTCTCTGTAGCCACTCTTATTTATTCCTTGTTTTCTTTCAATCAGCGCTTTCACAAAAGAATAATTTTCTTCTTATTAAAGCAATAGAAAACCAACATGCAACCCGCATTGGAAAGAAAATGAGACTGTGACAGAGATACTTCTAGCTAAAATTGTAGCACAAGCGTGATTCTCACACCACGGGCTGATAATTGTCTTTGTGAAGCTGAAGTAAAAGACTCCTGGTTACAGTAGACAAAACCGTTCCTTTGATGCTACTGCCTTATGACCCCATTTTTATTCTTGGCTACAGTACTGTAACTTCTCTGAAAGTTATATGCTTGGAGCAATTATTTCTTAAATTGAATCAAAAGTTAGAAGAAAGTTCAAGTCAGGATGAGATGGTGCCAAACTCACTCTATTGTGAACATATTATTCCTATATTTTTCATGGAAAAT